TCTTTCATTTCTGGGGAAAAAAATAATTAGAATTTTACATGGACTTCAGGGTCAAAGTTTCTACAGCACTGATTAGATGACAGGGACATGCAAGTATTAAGACAATTTTCTTTGGCCCAGCTCCACAAGTTAATAATACAACAACAACACTACTTTGAAACCATACTAACATGCTAAAAAATGCCAGGGAGTTTAAATAAAATCATCCCCACCATGCCACCCCTCCTCTTCTCCCACCAAAAATGTGTCCTAGACTGGGTGCAGTGGCTCACACCTGTAATCCCAACACTTTGGGAGGCCAAGGTGGGCAGATCACAAGGTCAGGAGATGCAGACCATCCTGGTTAACACAGTGAAACCCTGTCTCTAAAAATACAAAAAATTAGCCAGGCATGTTGGCACACGCCTATAGTCCCAGCTATTCAGGAGGTTGAGGCAGGAGAATTGCTTGAACCCAGCAGGTAGAGGTTGCTCTGAGCCAAGATAGCACCCTGCACTCCAACCTGGGTGACAGAAGGACATTCAGTCTCAAAAAAAAAAAGAATTGTCCTAAGAAATAAAGTATACTAACCTTAAGCTCCTCCAACTTAATCAACTTAATTTATTAAACATGCCAAACTCAATTTCCCTTGCAGAAAATAAAACAAATTGCTGGGAAGATCATTCATTCAAATTGTCTTCACAAGGTAATTGACAGAAATTAGTCCAGCTTCTCTTTTTTTTTTTTTTTTTTTTTTTTTTTTTTTTTTTTTTTTTTTTTTTTTTTTTTTTTTTTTTTTTTTTTTTTTTTTGAGATGCAGTCTCACTCTGTTGCCCAGGCTGGAGTGCAATGGCAAGATTTTGGCTCACTGCAACCTCTGCCTCCCAGGTTCAAGCAATTCTCCTGCCTCAGCCTCCTGAGTAGCTGGGATTACAGGTGGCAAGCATCATACCTGGCTAATTTTTTGTATTTTTAGTAGAGAAGCGGTTTCACCATGTTGGCTAGGCTGGTCTCAAACTCCTGACCTCAGGTGATCCACCCGCCTTGGCCTCCCAAAGTGCTGGGATTACAGGCGTGAACCACAGTGGCCGACCACTTCTTTTTCCTGTCTCCTGGGTACTCTAGCATCTCCAGATTCAAGAGCAATGTAAAGATACCCAAGTCAGTTCCACCTCTGGTATGCAACTGAAAACCAATGTATTCCCTCCTGTGACACAGATGTACTGAAGAGTGCGTGTGAGCCTGCAGAGCTCCTGAATACCCCTCCCAAATGGATCCCACAGAACTTCTTCCTATGTGACAGATAATTAAATGCTTTAACTCTAGGGATTTAAAATATATATATACAGGCCAGGCTCGGTGGCTCATGCCTGTAATCCCAGCACTTCAGGAGGCCGAGGTGGGTGAATCATGAGGTCAGGAGAGCGAGACCATCCTGATTAACATGGCGACGCAGGAGAATCGCTTGAACCCAGAAGGCAGAGGCTGAGGTGAGCCAAGATTGAGCCACTGCACTCCAGCCTGGGTGAGGACAGAGTGAGACTCTGTCTCAAATATATATATACAAAATAAATATATATAAAATATATATATTATATATAAATATATACACATGTATCACATATATGTATATATAAAGCAAGTTACTTCTATTGGACGTTAAACTTAAATAACTCTTATGGTTGTGTCATCTCTCACTGCAGTACCCAGGGAGCAACTCTTTTCCTGTCTCCTCTCGTCTACCACTCCTGCCCTATCATTTACAGCAGCATTAATGCCAGTTTCAAAGTAATAATAATTTTTCTCTTTTGTGCTGCAAATATCCAACCACTGTGGTTAAATAGCATTTAGAACATAAACAGGGTCAAGAATGCCAGTTGCCAGAAGAGTCATGTTTAAATTAGCATTAACCAGCAAGCCCTCCCCTAAACAAAAAAGAGAGCAAGGGGGAAAAAATGTTTTCTTGGACAGCTCTGTGCCTGCAGAACGATTTCAACCCCACATGTTCAAAAGGCCCCATGAGGTCCAGCTGTAACACAATACCATCATTAATTTTTACTAACTTAAATTTCTCAAAAGTACAAAATGCTATCAATTTGGGGGGAATAGGGAGGAAGAAACCACTTCTTAGTTTATTCTACAACCTTTATAATTTGAGTAAACTGGCAATAGTGTCTTAAAACGTAGCAGCCATACATAAGTTACATGGATTGTAATAGAATAAAAGCCCAGTCCTCCCCCCATCATCACACCCCTCACTCGGCCCCAATATGTGTTACTCAGTGTCTTTCTGCATCTTGAGGTTCTGTAATACTTCCTCCTCCCTTCCCTATCCCCATGTAGCACAACTCCTTAAAATAACATGAGAGGTCCCCCACAATGTGTCGCTTTGTAACTTTCCAGCCTTCATCACCCTAGACTCTCACTTTGTCTTCATTCCTCCACCATTCATCTTTTAAAAGACATGGTATTCTTCAACCCACATTTGTAAGGTAGTTCCCTGAATCAAATGTAATTCTCCATTCCCTGGCACGCCAAAGCTCTCGGACTGTACGGCTACCGCCCAGTTACACAACACCGCATATACATATTCCCCCCGGTTGCAGCTCTTTCTGGAGCTTCCTTTTCACCATGCTTGCATCTGCCACAGTGGAAGACATTCAACAATTGTTTGCTGAAATAAAATTGCCTCATTTTCTCTCAACTTTCTAACACACCCATTAGCTTTCCCTAAGATTTTTTTTAAGAGACTGAGTCTCTCTATGTCACCCAGGCTGCAGTGCAGTGGCACAATCACAGCTCACTGCAGCCTTGAACTCCTGGGCTGAAGCCATCCTACCTCCTCAGCCTCCTGAGTACCTGGGACTACATGCACATACCACCATACTCAGATAATTCTTTTATTTATTTATTTATTTAATTATTTGTAGAGACAGAGTCTCACTGTGTTGCCCTGGCTGGTCTCAAACTCCTGGCTTCAAGTGATCCTCCCGCCTCAGCCTCCCAAAGTGTTAGGATTACAGGCATGAGCCACCACACCAGGCCAGGGATATTTAAATAGCAGGGTAACATGATATGTAAAAATAAGAAACCAAAAAGTCGTATCATGCTGATTTAAGGCCAGAGAAGGCTGTTCAACTTTAAACAAAGAGCTTATGTTTAAGTTTTTATTACATCACACTTTGGCTTTTAAAATAAATAATGTTCCTCAAGGGCGTAGGCATATTGATACCAAAACATTAAAGAAAAGGAAGACAGGCCACACACATCAAGCATAGACATTAAAATCTTGACCTCAACTAAATTCTAAAAGTGCTGTTATCTGCTGAATACTTAGACCTTCCCAGTGAAAATGATACAGTGTATTCTGCCCGGATTGCAACTTTCCATACCAAGCATTTGAAATGAGTCTTGGCCCTAAATATCACTTACTTCAGACTGAATGTCACTGTGTATCAAAAAGACTGAGCAGGAGAGAATTTTTTACTCTTTGAATGTTCTAGTAGGTCACTAATGGAATAGATTCAGTAAAACCTTGCAGAGTCTACAGTATAATTTGAAACAAAAAAAAAATCAAATTACTTTTTGGAAAATATTAGCTTCGAATAAAAATAGAAATTTCGAAAGGGCTGCCACTTACATTCTTACCTCTGTTATTTCTTTCCCATCACTCACAGGGAGACTGAAATCCATGCTGAGTGCTCACAGCCCTGGGCAGGAGCTGTTCCCCTGAGAGACAATGATGCAAATGGGTCAAGTGATGCCGGGTAGAAGTCAGACTGCAAGGATCACCTTGACCTCACCTTAGCGCATGAGCTAAACAAACTCACAAGCTTAAAATAATAAGGGTAACAAGCGGTTGATCTGAGAGGGAAAGTATGATTGATTTCCTTAAGGAAAAAAAAAAAAAAAAAAAAAACTAGAGGAAATGAACTCCCAGCTCAAGGCTTTTTCTCCTCCAGGCATCCTCTGTTGCTGGTTTTCTTCCATCTTCCGGGCCCTCTGGACCTTTTACATACCCCTCCTACCTTTTCCTACTGCTTTAACATAAGATAACCTTGCACCGGCTTCTAGTTATTTGCGAAGCCGGAAGAAACAGCAAAGATCACCAACCCCATCCATTTTCCAGATGGGGACGCAGAGACCAGGAGCAGCTGGGCTGACCCGACTGGCTAAGGTCGCGCCGCTAGGGGACGCGGTGTGCCTTGCAGGCTGGGATGATGACAACCTAGCCTTCTCTCCTCGCTCCTCGCCCGTGCCTTCCTGCCTCAAGCTACCTCCTTCTCCTGCCACTTGATTTTTTTATTCTCAAATTAGCATCAAGAAAAAATGCAGCCTTAGTATACTTACAATGATGATTATTATTCATAATTTTGCATTTGAGGCAATTATACTCGCTCCTACTGGGATCTGGAAATCAAGGGCAGAAACAACTAGGTGACATTCTACCTCCCTGTGTATTTTAATGCTATTTAGTTTGGTTCAAACAACCACACCTCTAACATATACTCTTTTTCCTTGGGACTCACTCTTCTATCTGGCAAGGGGATAACTTCTTGCAAAAACTTAGCATTTTCCAAGTGCACAGTCTCCCTTTAACCAGAACTGCAGACTCTGAATCACAGACCTCTGGCTTACCAGTTATGCTTAGCTGAGCAAACACACTTATGCAAATACGTGAAAAACAAACTGTTAGAGCCTAAAGGAATAGAGGATTTAGCTGTGATAGTTATTTACGTTTTCAGTATTTATGTTTACGAATATCTATCTAACCCCACAGGAAACGACGCGTCCATGGTGAAACAAGCCAGCACCCACATTTATGAAAAATCCATGGATTTCAACAAAAATCAAAAGGAGGGGGAGGAACAGCGGAGAGCCACAATCTCAGGCCTCAGACAGCAGGCAGCAACAAGTCCTGAAAGCCTTCACTCTTAACATTTCAAAGGCCAAATGGCAGCAAAGAAAAACAAGAATAAACTTTAAATCCATTCGCCACAAAGGAGTCCCACGCAAGCCAAAAGAGCCGTCGATTTCAAAACCATTAACTCAAAGCCAGGTCCCTCCCATGCCTTACAGCCTCCTGTTACTTGCTAAGCACGTTTGTTAGGCGGTCGGACAGAAACTGAATTAAAAGTCCTCAGCCCGGAGTTGGGGGGACAATCGAGTCTTCAGTGGGAAGCGAGAGGTGCGGGAGCCCCGGAGGCGCGGGGACTGCTGGCAATGCACGTCCAGCAGGACGATGTTTGGGGAGAATTTCAAGGGCCCCTCGCAAGCCCTCCCGCGAACCCACCCCGACCCAGGTAACTGGAGGCCACCTACGTGTCACTTGGGCGGGTCCCGAGGCGCACTGACCTGGCGCAGGACGGGAGGGCCGGCGGCCCGGGCGGCTGCGGCAACTTCCCTCCCGGGCCTCGGTCCACCGCTGGATGCGGGAGGCCAGGGCAGCCTCGCCTCCTGCAAGCCGGCTCGCAGGAACGCACGGCCACCCACCCGTGCCGCGGCCCAGCGCGCGCACCCACACTCTCACCGGCACTCGCACGCGCGCCCGCCCTCAGCCACAAAGCCCGTCCGCGGCGGGACAGTGTGAGCCCAGCGCGCAGTGCGGCGGCCGAGCCGTAGCCGCGGCCTCTGGCATCGCGCCCAGGGGGCGCCGTCCCCACGCGCCGCTCCTGCCCCTTTACCTGCGCTCGCCGCCGCCGCCGCGCGTCCCGCTCCCGCCGCCCCCGGGCTGGCTTCAGGCCGCGCGCCGAGTCCTGGCGGCCCCCGCCCCGCCGTCAGCCGAGCCCGGCCCTCCGCCCGCCCCTCGGCCGTCGCGCAGAGCTGGGCCGCCCCCTGCGCCCACCCCGCCGGGGTCCCGTGCTCGGTCGAGCGGCGGGGAGGACTCCGCAGTCCCGGCCCCTGGCAGCCCCAGATCCCGGCCGCGCTCCACAGGGGGGCTGGAGACGGAGTCTCCACTCGGGGAGCGTCAGCAGCCGCTCTGCCCTTACTGCCCGGCTTTGGCGCGCCGGCAGAAGTGGGCGCCGAGGGAGGGCCGGAGGAACAGCGCCGACGCCAGCCTCCTTTCCTCCTCCGCCTTCCTTCTTTTCTGCTTGTTCCACGTAGCACAAGTCAGCAACTCCCAAACCCCCAGAGTCCGCCCTCCCTGCTCCCGAGCTGGACCCCTTACCTGGTGTGGCGCCCCCAGAGCCCCTGACCTCTGCGCCCCCTCCTTCATTCATTGGCTCCGTAACCGGCGGCGGCGGGGCCGGGGAGGGGGGAGGCCTTAGCCTCCCATTCAGTATCTCAGCAGGCTCCCCCGCCCCGCCCCCGAGCCGACACACTCGCAGCTCGGGTCCCACCCCCGCCACTCCTGAGCTCACCCCAGCGCCGGACAGCTGGTGGGATTCCAGTGGATGCCCCGGCACGGGGCATTTTCACGTTGTCGCTCTCCTCTTCCCCCTCGAAAAGCTCTGGAAAACATCGCGGGGCCGGCAAAACACCCAAATGTGGCCTCTCTTTCGTAGTTCACTTTCTAAACTTTCCAGAAGGCGCCAAGTTTCTCCCAGCGCTGCCCTGCACCGGAGACTGCGAAGAACGCAGAGGCAGCTTTGCTGCTAGGAAGGTGCATACGTTTCTAGTTCTGATCTTTCACTTCACTGGATCTGCAAACCGAAGCAAGTGTGTCTGCTCCCCTAGTTCTCCATATCCATGATTAGACATTTCTCTTCCGCTTTCCCAGTGTAGCTTTGCAAGTGTAAACTATCAATTTTAGTGAGAGTAATTAAGGGCGGGGACCGCACACCTGGAGGTGTGGGCGGGCGCGGCGCCGGACTAAGGCCTAGGGATCGTTCTCAGGAGAGTGGCAGCCACAGCGACTCGCCCAGGTCTTATAACAACACCCACTCAATGGGGTCTACCTAGCCACGCCACCCCAGCACACCCATCTCCCGCCCCTGGCTTCCCAGGATTTCTGGAGTGATCAGAATTATCGGCCTCTCGCTCCACAGCTAAGGTCACGGCGTATCAAAATTGCAGCGTGTGAGTAAACGTTTCATGAGCCCTCGCCTTGAAATGGCACAGAAGACAGCACGACAGCAGTAAGGCTTGGGGACTTTGCAGGACTGATCTGATTGAGAGAAACGCAGCACAGCGAGGCAGGGCTATGTCGATGATGGCCACCCGGTCACCTTGGACTTTGCAGAAGAGAAAAGTCCCTGAAAACCGCAGTTGGACGGAAACTTTTCAAGCCTCAATTGAGTTATGCTGTGAAGAGACCATGACCGTCTCCCACCGGTGACTACTTAGGACCTTGACCAAGCTCGTGTGGTTTTTCACAGGATGCTCAGGGCTGAGCCCTGGCGGTAAATAATTTACTATCTAAAGCTGTTTCCTTTTTAAAACAATGGTTCAAATCTTTTTTTAAAAAAAGTCAGTCCAGTCATTTTTTTTTTTTTTTT